CAATGGGATAACTCCCAAACCCGGATATATAGCTCACTTTATGTACTCCAACCACTGCAGAGAATAGACTCCAGATAGTATTGTTTTTACAAGATTCTTTGCACACTCTCAAAGGCTACCTTGAAGAGAACACTAAAAAAAGATGTCAACATTATAGAGAAAGGTATATACCATCTACCATAGCTGTAAAAGTTTTGAAATTTGATGTTCATTGCCAAACTGCACAAACAAGCAATTTTCACTTTAACCCCAAACTTTTGTTTGATGATTTTCCACTAAAGAATCAACTTTATCCTTTTAAGAATACATTAAACCAAAATGTATATAAAAAAAACACGGTAAAAGAGTTTGTCAAAGTAAAATTTTACTGTCTGATAATTTTTTAGCTAAAAATTCCGGCAACTCAAAATATTTACTGTGAAAGAAAACCAATTGACGCATTTGACCTCTCAGATTGCTGAGAAATCTGGAAGAGGGTCACCATCAGGTTTTGACTAGCAATAATTGAAGAGGAGAAGAGCAGAGCAGAATAAAAAAACATATCATATTGTACCAGTTAAATTTGAAAAAAACTTGTACAAAGAAAACGAGATTATTATTAATAATAGAGAAGAAATGAAGATCCCAATGCTCAAGATAACCCTTCCAACAGTGGAGTGGTGTAGAAAAGCTTCTTTAAACTTTTCTACTGGAAAAATACTAGAAACAGCTGCTGCTGCTCATTCATTCATTCATTAACATGCTTTAATTTAATTATATTAAGATTCTTGACTTCATAACTTGTAACAAGAAACAATTTAAGCGTGTAGTATTGAGTAACTTATCGAATTCTTTTTTGTAATGTTAAAGAAATTTATTACAGCATTAGGGGTTTTAAAAATACCTTTTTTTTTTTGCACTTTCACCTACTTCTGTGTTATGATCACATTGGCAGAAGTAATGCTGCTAAAACTTGTACAAATTGCTTTAAGATTTTAGGGAAGCATTATTGGCCAAAGAATGCATTTAAGTAAAAAATTAAAAGTCTGTTCGGTAAAACTTCTGAAAAATAAAAAATTGTTTCCAAGACTAAGAAGTTGCTTAAATTATTTTTTTAAAAGTATTTTGTCCAACCATAAGAGTTTTTAGAGAAAATTAATATAAAATAGCTTTCTCGAAAAAGTCTTCTACAATAATCAGAACTCTAACCAAATAAGTCTAAGGTCTTGATGTTACATCTGGAAAGTTTAATATTGTACGAGAAGGAACCCAAACCCTTTTTTGTTATTATTTTCATACTGAAATGACATGGAAATTTAACAAATTCAACCTACCAAATATTTTCATAATTCTATTATGTTTTTTTCTTATAAACCTACAGCAAGAAGGGTGTCGAGTTGAAGGGTTGTTGAAGAAGAAGCCCAAATTTGCAAATGTCATTCTAAATCTACATTATTTGAATTGTCATCCCCACACTTTGTCACTTTAATTATTCATGGAATAATCTATCAAAAAAATCATTTTCGACTTTAATTTATTTTTTCAAAAAAATCAAGAAACAGAACAATAAANAGTTTGTTAAATTAGTCTTGCTGATTTCAAGAGACGATCTATAGATTTAACAAGATAATTAGGGCTTAAGCCTCCGTTTGGTTCTCATTTTTCATCCATAAAAATGAAAAATATGACCGTTATCCATTACATCAATATTTAAATTCAAATTTTCTATCTCTTATGTGGACCCCAATGTCATATTTTTCATTCTAATTCAATAATTTGGCTCAAACAGGGAAGTAAAGTAAAAAATTAAAAGTCTGTTCGGTAAAACTTTTGAAAAATAAAAAATTGTTTCCAAGACTAAGAAGTTGCTTAAATTATTTTTTTAAAAGTATTTTGTCCAACCATAAGAGTTTTTAGAGAAAATTAATATAAAATAGCTTTTTCGGAAAACTCTTCTACGATAATCAGAACTCCAACCAAATAAGTCTAAGGTCTTGATGTTACATCTCGAAAGTTTAATATTGTACAAGAAAGAACCCAAACCCTTTTTTGTTATTATTTTCATACTGAAATGACATGGAAATTAACAAATTCAACATACCAAATATTTTCATAATTCTATTATGTTTTTTTCTTATAAACCTACAGCAAGAAGGGTGTCGAGTTGAAGGGTTGTTGAAGAAGAAGCCAAAATTGCAAATGGCATTCTAAATCTACATTATTTGAATTGTCATCCCCACACTTTGTCACTTTAATTATTCATGGAATAATCTATCAAAAAAATCATTTTCGACTTTAATTTATTTTTTCAAAAAAATCAAGAAACAGAACAATAAAAATAGTGTCAAAACAAACCCTCTAATCAGACAGATGAAGTACAAAACTAAGGTACCACTAATTAATTAATTAACATTATCTTTTAAATTTGTTAATTGACAATGTTAAATTTAAAATTCAAAAGATGTCTTTCTTGTTTGTTAGAGTTATTAATATTGCCAAAAGGAAAACTAATCATATGCTAAAGTACATTCCAACATGGTAACCCATAAAAATCCCTTTTTCTTTTTGTTCCAACTTGTATTTATGAGATTCTTTTATTGGAGTATATTAAATGAATTTAGTTATAAATTTAAGCTCCACATGTATATTTAATAAATGAGTTTTCATTTTCTTATAGTTAATTATTGGCCATAAAATGACACCCAAACAAACTACAAGTAATGGAGTCGGAACTTAAATTCAGTAAAGACCAAATTTAATTACGAAAAGACTTTGCATTAAGAATCAGTTTACAGGTACAGGAAATTAGTACAGAAATTTGAAATAGATAACACAAATTCAAAGATGGAAAAATACACACACACAGTTGCACAGGGTAGCAGCATCCTGTACAAATTCTGTGAGTTATTCCTAGTACTTAGGGAATAACTCTTGCAATAATCCCAAATTTCAGTGGGAACCTACTACCTAGTACCACCCCTGCAGACAACTGCAAACCTTCTAACTAATCGAAGTGGAAGAACGATCAAATAATATGAGATATTTTATTGATTCATATACTATGCTTCTCCATGTACAATACCTACCAAACACAGTCCATACATGTATGCATGTTGTGTATGGGGTATTAATATTGATGTTCTCGAATTTGGTTTAAACATTGTCCTAGAAAAAATAAAGAGTCTTGAAAAATTAGAAAATCAAATCTTGTTTGCCTCTCATTCTTTATAATATAAAGGTTACCATTTGTATGGACATGCTAAGGGTAATCAAATTACAATATTAGTGTTCTCAAATAAGTCACTATCATGTAGAGAACATAATAACTATAAAATTTTACATCTATTAAACATGAACAAAATAATAAACATTTAATTGTTGGAGTTATTCCTCTTACCAAGCTCAACATTTTACGATTGAACTCCAATAATCAAATTTTTTTATGTAGAATCGGATCAGTTTCAAACTATTCCACCTTTTTTCAAGAGGTTTTGCTAGAATGATAGGGGGGCGCCCCTATTGGCTGGGGTCTGCACAGGTCCCCAACCAATAAGTGGGTGCCACATTCGCTCCCTATTCGTCAAGGGCTCATGCGACTCTGGACGAATAGCAAAACCATTTTTCAAGCCTTGGAATAAGTTATTGGAGGGTGCTAGAGTTGTCCATATGACGAATTGAACATTGTTTTGACAATATTGTTGGATGTCAAACATTCACCATCTCAAATTTCAACATATAGTACATAATTATGAAATCTATATGAAAAAAATTATATTTTTACTTGCATGTATTAAAACTCGAACAAGTTAAACGTTGAGCACTCATTTTTAAAAGAATTAAAATGCATTTAGCCTTTTCATGGTCAAAGGGAAAGCAAGCGTTAATGGAAACTTTGGCTGTAAAAAGAAAGAATAATGTTATCTAACACTTCTAGTACTATAATACAAGTCTATGTGGCGTTAGGTGATTGGCTTAATAAAAGGTAAAATTACATAATTCATTTAATTATTATACCTCCCATTTAATGTTATATTAGCCTAAATTGGTGTTATATTGGTACTTAATATCATTATTGAAAAAGAAAGCATGATTAACTTTAATATGAGGAATTATGTATTGCTTTTTGTGCCAAAATATGATTTTAATTAACTTTATGGACCATTAATTAGTGGGTGTTGTTAATTAATTACACAATGAGTTGGAAAGTCATCTATTATGTTGTATATTTAATGTTTTAAGACCAAAAGATGAAAAAGAGTCGGTCAATTCTCAGATTTTCCCATTAATGTGATATTTTATTTCAACTCTTAAAACACTTAATGTTCTTACTAGAAAAAATAATTATATTTTCTACCTTTTTCTTATTATTCGATTCTCTATCACCGAAACAAAATCAATCTTAAAGAAATTTAATAAGTGCGCAAACAATTTTTTTTTTCCACATTTTATGTTTTCGAATTTCATACTTCATATTCTATTTATTTTTTCAGTACCTTCTGTTGTGTAATTTTTA